CTCTACTTGGTGTCAAGGTTAAAACGTGTTAAAAGCTGAGTCAACATTGAATGTGTGCTTCACTCAGCACTAATAGGAATGTTAAGTCATACTGCATTTCTTCATGTCATCTAAGAATAAATATTTGAGTGTGTTTGGTAACAAAAGGATTCATGCTGTAAATACAAACACCAAAAATACAAATTTTTGAAACCAATGTTGTCCAACAGTATGTTATTTTACCAAACAGGTCTGATCAAAATGTTGGGATTTTTTCTGAAGTTCTATATGTGTAGTTTCCCCATTTCAATATTTACCTAAGACTCTGCCTCTCCGACTTATAATATTAATACCACGCAACGCAACAGCCTTGCTGGGATGAGAGACGTAATCTAATGTCAAAACTTTAACATGAGATTGTCTCCTTAGTCCTTATTTGAATTACAGATCGCAGACGCAGCTTACAGTTAAACAGTTTAGTTTTAATAAAACTTTCAGGGTCATGTATCCAGGGCAGTGTATCCATCACCGCTGTAGCGTAATCCACGGGACCTAAAAAGATTTCCCACTTTTCGGTTCAAGAAAATCCCGTTGTATCGGCATGAACTATGCAAAAATCTCAATCCTTCCCAAATAATATTTTAAACTTATCATAATAAAATGGCTATTTAAACCTTAATATAGTACCAAAGATTACATGTTTTGCTAGCACGTGTAATCTTTGATAGTACAATACTATTATTTAATCAATTATGTATAGTTATGATCCAAAATACCCCCGCCGCAGCAAACCTGCCGACTAAGCGAATTTCCATTTGTCTGAATTGATTTTCAGTTATATTTTAATAACATTAGGTTTAACGAGTACCTAGGTTTGCTGCTACAAGGAAACTAATAAAGTGTGTTTTTGAGTAAAATATTGATAGCTTAGTACAAAATAAATAAATTTGCCAAGTTTGATCAAAATATATTCATAAACAAGCAAACTACAACATTTGACAATATTCTCCATAAGAATAACATGGGAATTTTAAATTTACAATTTTTTTAATTTTCTCCGTTACTAATAATCGAACAAAAATACTTTTATATACTAAATTATTTGTTTTTTTAAGCTCTTTAAAAAGGTCTAAAGAGAAATTGGGAAATTTTGTGTTTTGAGGGTCAAAAGTGAGAAAAACCAATTTTTACCCCATAAAACCCCCCGTAAAGCCCCGTTCCCATGGTCCGATCGTGCTGGTTCGCGAACTCATTCAAGTTTATCCCGCTTTACACCTTTAAACCAAATTTCATCAAAATCGGACAAAAATTACTCAAGTTATCGCGTTCACGGACGTATATATATATATATATATATATACATATATAAAAATTTGAACGAATAGTGTTTTTGGCCTCTGGGGACATCAAAATGAAAAAGTAAATCGGTCCCGGGTCTAGGTCTTACCGTGCCACCTACGGTAATAGCTACTTCCCTATAGGGAAATTCAAATTCGCTAAAAATAACAAATTAACCAATATTTACAATTAGAAAAACTAGTGATGGCGGTGCATATTATATGTTTGAGAAGTACTCGCCACATACTTCCTCAAAAGAGTACAGCGGCTCATTTGTGAGCTTGTTAAAAAGCTGCATGGAGAAAGCTTTCATGTCTTCAATGTGGGCCCGAGGCGGTAACATGTTGTAGAATCGCATGGCTGGAATGGGATGGGCTGCCAAGGATCTTGATAACCTGCATCGAGGAATGTCAAGTTTCTGTGCATTCCTGGTGTCATAATTATGGAGATCACCCCTCTGTTGATATTCTCTATTGTTATTCTTGAGATTAATCAGGCCGTAGTAGACATATTGGCTGAAGATGGTCATAACCTTAAGGTTAGCAAATAGGGGCTTACAGTGGTCTCTATAACCAGCGGCTGACAGCACTCTGACTGCCTTCTTCTGCAGACGTAGCACTTTTATACAGCCAGGAGCATGTCCCCAGGGCAGGATTCCATATCTGATATGGTTTTGAAATAGGGCGTGATATACATTTATTAAGTATTTATCGGTGACGACCCCCCTAAGTTTCCAAAGAAGAAAAACCACACGGGAGAGTTTAACACATACTGTATGACTGATATGTTGTTCCCAGGTAAACTTAGGGTCTAGGCTGAAGCCCAGCAATTTCACGCTGCTTTGGTGATCAAAATTCTTTGTTTTGCTTAAAGTGCATATCATCCTCTGGGTCTTGTCTCCATTCAACTGCAGCCGATTTCTGACAAACCAGATTTTAGCAGCAACCAGTGCAGCTTCTGCCTCTATCAACACTTGGTTTATAACTTTCCCTCTAGTTAGTATTGGTGTCATCAGCATACAGGAGTGCTCTGCCCTGGAGATGGAGGTCATTTACAACAATTTGTCTGAATTGATTTTCAGTTATATTTTAATAACATTAGGTTTAACGAGTACCTAGGTTTGCTGCTACAAGGAAACTAATTAAGTGTGTTTTTGAGTAAAATATTGATAGCTTAGTACAAAATAAATAAATTTGCCAAGTTTGATCAAAATATATTCATAAACAAGCAAACTACAACATTTGACAATATTCTCCATAAAAATAACATGGGAATTTTAAATTAACAATTTTTTTAATTTTCTCCGTTACTAATAATCGAACAAAAATACTTTTATATACTAAATTATTTGTTTTTTTAAGCTCTTTAAAAAGGTCTAAAGAGAAATTGGGAAATTTTGTGTTTTGAGGGTCAAAAGTGAGAAAAACCAATTTTTACCCCATAAAACCCCCCGTAAAGCCCCGTTCCCATGGTCCGATCGTGCTGGTTCGCGAACTCATTCAAGTTTATCCCGCTTTACACCTTTAAACCAAATTTCATCAAAATCGGACAAAAATTACTCAAGTTATCGCGTTCACGGACGTATATATATATATATATATAAGTCTATATATATATATATATATATATATATATATATACATATATAAAAATTTGAACGAATAGTGTTTTTGGCCTCTGGGGACATCAAAATGAAAAAGTAAATCGGTCCCGGGTCTAGGTCTTACCGTGCCACCTACGGTAATAGCTACTTCCCTATAGGGAAATTCGCTAAAATCAGTAAAAAAGAAGAAAATTACACGCCAGAGCTATAAATCCCGGTCCGAGAACGCATCCAGTTATAATTCAGTTAATCCTAATTTATATTTTAATACTTATTTGACAAATATTAACTGAGAATTATTTTTTCCTTGCTATTTCTACAGTTTTCCCCATCTATACAATCCTAAAAAGTAGTTTTATCAATTTAAAAATTGTTTTAATAGAGAAAACTGTTGGTAATTGGTATAGCAAGAAAATACCCCCGCCGCAGCAAACCTGCAGACTAAGCGAATTTCCATTTGCCTGATTGGATTTACACTAAAATGTCTCCTTAAAAATATCACATTTATCCCTATTTAAATAAATAGAATCAGTTTAACACATACTTAGGTTTGCTGCAACAGGGAGGGTAAAAGTGTTTTTTTTATGTAAAATGTTAATTTTTAGTAAGAAATAAAAACATGTTCCAAATTTGGGCAAAATATGTTAATAAACAAGTAAACTACAACGGTTTACTTATTCTCCATAAGAATAACATGGGAATTTTAAATTTGCAATTTTTTTGAATTTTCTCCGTAACCATTAGGCGCATTACAACGCTTCAATATACTAAATTATTTGTTTTTTTAAGCTCTACAAAATAGTTTAGAAAGAAATTGCAAAATTTGATGTTTTTTGGGTCAAAAATGGGAAAAACCCATTTTTACCCCATAAAACCCCCCATAAACCCCCGTTCCCATGGTCCGATCATGCTGATTCGCGAACTCGTTTGAATAAACGTAGGTTTACACGTTTGTACCAAATTTAATCAAAATCTGATCATTTTTGCTCGAGTTATCGCGCTAACGGACACACATATATATATATATAAATATATAATATATATGAATTTGAACGGATGGTGTTTTTGGCCTCTAGGGACCTCAAAACGAAAAAAAAAATCGGTCCCGGGTCCAGGTCTTACCATGAGTACTACGGTAATAGCTTATTCCCTATATGGGAAATTCGCTAAAAGTTAATTTCTCGGTTATTACTTTCTAATATAAGGTTATAAGTTTAAAGGTATATTTATAAGGTTAAAAGATATCGTTAAATTCTGCATAGCATTTGTTAAGATTTACATATTCTATTTTAAAATTCATGGTATTCAAGGAATTGTCATAAAATACTTTAAAAAACCGCTATTTTAAAACGGTTTAAGAGATTTTATTCATATTTCGTACAAAGATAGGGGCTAGGGTCCAATAAGATATAAACATTCTGCAGAAACCGTCAAGGAGTTATGAATCTGTATGTCTATCCTCATACAGATGGATAGAACGAAAACAGAATGAGAGGACACATGTAAGATTACATTTTTTGTTTCATTTTACATGATGAATAATGTGACAAAGATTGTTCACATGATTGCAAAACACCCTGCACCACAATATTTATGTGTCCATTAGCACGATAACTCGAGCAAAAATGATCTGATTTTGATGAAATTTAGTATAACCGTGACTAAGTATAACAGTCGAACAACGGGTTTCAATGAATAGAGAGGAGAAACATTCTGTGTGAGAAGCACTTAAACTTAGTCAAGATCATAAAAAATTATGTTTTTTGTGTTAAAATTGCATACTTTTAAAGAGTACAACATTACAGAGTTGTTTCTTATATCAGCGATCTATGGTGGTCTATGGTTTGTCATAAAAATGTATTTCGTAAATTATAAAATGTGTCTGTTTTCGATATTGTTTTTAACGATTACACCCAATTAATCAAGCAAAGCTCAGTCCCCTGGTACTACAGGCTTAACACACCTTAAGCTGATGATTAGGAATATAATTCAGTATTGGATCCTAATATTCATGTTTTCTATAAGGTTTTTAGTAGTTAAAAAATATTTTTAATTTTCCTAACAATATCTTCTTTTCTAGGAAGTATTCCAGAATGGCTACAAGGAAGGTTCATACGTGTTGGACCTGGATTGTTTGAAATCGATGACTTCACTGTGAACCATTGGTTTGATGGTTTTGCAGTCCTCTACAAATTTGAAATAAAAAATGGAAAAGTAAGTTGTATTGCAAATGTAAGCTGCTGTCTACTTTCCTACATTTTATAGAGCTTTATAGAAACAAGGGTATGCCGGATGCCTTTTATAATGTAATAGTATATTTCGTACCTAGCGCCATAGATAAAACATACTCCCTTAGTAGATTTCCCATCCTTAAGGAACAGCTGAAGCCAATTTTATTGTTAGTTCTGTCCGGTTTTCTGTAGAGGTCGTGTTTTGTTTACAATTTGTTTCCCGTTATTACAGCCATTTAAAACCTCGTTTAACCAAATAATACGATCTAATCATAAACAATAACTTGTCCCCTAGTTATATAACCAAACAGTAAAGCAAAAATCAAGAAATTAACCCTAAAATAATAAAAACAAAGTTTCGTCGACACTAGCGCCTTTGTACATGAACTAGACACGAAAAACGTGCTTCAAAATTTACAATGGGATGAGAAGTCTACTTGTGTTGGTTAGTCTATGCTAGCGCCAAACATGAGGTTTTACCGGCTCGAGATTATATTTTAAGTTCGAGACAAAGTCCTCTCCAAGTCCAATCCCTTACTAAAAAATTGTTTATTTGCAAGCTCAAAAATGGCTATAAAGTAGGTTTTACCTTTTTCAAGCAGCTCAAATGTTGACAATGTTCGTTACGGCCGTTATGGCATTTATGGCATCATGATGCCATTGTCGGACACAAATCTCGGCTGAAGTAGCGCCTTTCCCTCGTTATGTGTTTTAACTACAATGACGCTACTTTAGGTGATATATGCATTTGACGATGGCATTGTGATGCCGAAACGGCCGTAACCAACAGTTACAACATGCTTGAAGAAAGTAAAACCATTGACTATTGGTTTTATTAATAGTAAAAGGTAAAACCTACTTTTTAGTTAAGTTACAGCTTAGTGGCTAAAATCTTTTATCATAGTTTTTTAGAGTTAGAGTTTCTGGGCCATCTTGTAGTGTGGAGCTCATGTGTTGAAGCATGTGTCATTAAAATTATAGTGTTTGAATAAATAAATAACATTTTTGTAAATTTAAAAAGTTTTCTTTTTAAGGTAATTATTTCCTATGGGGAAGTATTATTAAATTTGGTCTAGGTTTAACTCTTCACATTAAAATATTGCTATTTTTATAACTTTGTGGTTATAAACAAATGTTTTTTTTTTTTTTAAGAGATTGGCAGCCTTTTTTATCTTGCATTTGCCACATGAGCCTCAGACAATAGACCATTAATTGGTTCTATAAAACTATAGTCTGTGGTAAAATGTATTGAGCAAGGCAAGGTATGAGCTGGTATGGTACAAGGGTGAACCATACTGATAAGTAGTAGTGACAGGTACCAGGATCCATGACATCGCTGCCTCGGGCCCAAGTCCGTGGCGCTACCGAACAAGCCACTGTCTATATGGAAGTTTTACTATTTATTACAATGTAACAGCGTTTGTTTCGCCTGACGTAGGTAACCTTCATGAAGAAGTTCCTACAGTCAGATGCATACAAGAAAGCAATGGTAGCCAAGAAGCCAGTGTACACAGAGTTTGGAACGAAAGCCTACACGGACACAACCAAGAGTATGTTCTCCAGAGTCATCTCCGCAGTAGTAAGTTTGTCTGATGCTAAATGAAAATTAATTATCATTAACTGTATTGTATTAAATAAATGTAGGTAAAATCATAGATAAAACATATACTTCCTTAGTAGATTTGTCATCTTAATGGAACAGCTGAAGCCGATTTTATTGTTAGTTCTTTATGTCACACTGTCGAGGTTGTGTTTTGTTTACAATTTGTTTCTTGTCATTTCAGTAATTTAAAACCTAGTTTAACCAAATAAAACAATCTAAACATAAACAATAACTAATCTCCTAGTTATATAACCAAACAGTAAAGTACAAATCATTAAAATTACCCTAAAATAATATAAAGAAAATTTTCTCTACACTAATGATCAGTGTCGACGTACCTTACTACATGAACATACTACATGAAGGTACATGAACTAGAGACGAAAAACAAGCTTCAAATTTACAATGGGATGAGAACTCTACTTGTGTTGCTTAGTCCATGTTAAAAGTAATAAACCACATCAGCAAACTGAACATACTTTCTCCTACTAGCTTGATGGGTAAGGAGTAGGAGTAAAACAATGATATTTTATCGGTAAAATCACAAACATTGCCATACATTGGAACCATAATTTTAACAGTACTGGGGACTGTACCATTTTGTTTAGAGTTAAAAGGACCCACAGACTTCATTTTATCAAAAGCGCTTGAGATGCTTTTGTGAAAGTCAGATTTTCATTATCACACAATTAAATTATATTTATGAAGGATTTTTTCCAGAGTGGACTAAACATACACATAGAATACAGAATATCGTAACAAAACATGGCATTGATTATTTTGTCCAAGATTAAGATGTTTTTAGACACTGAAATTAAGTGTTCTCTAATTGGCAGATCCCAGACTTGACAGACAACTGTGGTGTCAACATCTTCAGCTACAAAGACCACGTGTTCTGTGGCTCAGAGTCACCAATGCTGAGAGAAATCAACCCTGAGAACCTTGACACTTTGGATAAGGTAAACCAAATTCGCTAATTTTGACAATCCAAAAGTAGCCCAGTGTTGAAGTGACCCAAACAAAAACTCTAACAATTTAGATTAATTGTAACTGGAGAAGAGTTTTTAGAGTTGTCAAAAAAGTTTTTTTTTTAATTAAAGATCTTGGCGGCCTCTTTTTTTAACCTTGCATTTGCCCGTCCACATGGACTAACTGCCTGTGCGTGGAACGTATCCAGCAAAGCAAGGGGTGAGTCGGTAACGTATGAAGGTAAAATGTACTGATAAAATGTTTACAGCAGTGACCAGGATCCGAACCCTCGAAATCGCTGTCTTTGGCTCGAAGTCCGTGATGCTACAGACTGAGCTACCAATTTACCAATTGAAAGAGTTCACAAGAGCCTTCACTTTGATCACATTGTTCATGATTTTTTGGGAAGCATGTTTTTTTACTATGGCTCTATATAAAAGAGTACCTATGTATGGATGGAGTGAATAGTCTCGTAACATGACATACCTCTGTCCACAGATAGACCTGACTAAGGTTGGAGCCAACATGATGAGTAGCCACTTCCTCCAAGACTCTCACGGAGACTTGTACACAATAGCCACTGAGATCTTCACCAGCGCAAACTACTCCGTCATCAAAGTACCAGCCACTGACAGCAACACCCGTGAGTTTGATTGGGCAGACCTTAAACTCGGGATGAGCATCGATAGACAATGTTTTTGAAACAATGATATTTTTCTATAAATTTTTTATGTTTTTACATCAATGATAGGTTACCGTTTTTGTCAAACATCGGGTTTTTTGGCCAAGCATAGAGATATTGATGTTTTCCATTACTGGAGAGTACAAAAAGCAGACGAAAAACTGAAAAAACATCGATGTTTTGGTCCCAAAAACATTGATGCTTTCACAACAATGTTATCGGTACATGTATGGTTAACATCGATAGTTGACCTATCGATGATGGTCGGTGTCACACTCAGTGTCATACCAGTGGGATAGTCGGCCACTCTCTCTGTTCTTCTCCCTTCATATGAAATTTCTGATGAAGCCGTGCTCAATGTTAAGAGAGAAACAAGACAAAGTTTAGAACGTCGCTTTAAAAAATACTTTGACCATATATTTGCTTTATTTCCAGCATTCAAGAAGGCACAGGCGCTCTGCTCGATATCACCATACAGCAAAGGCCCCAGCACTTATCACAGCTTTGCAGCCACAGACAACTACATAGTGCTCATAGAACAGCCTCTGACACTCAACATGTTGAAGATCATCTCCTTCCACATCAAGGGACGCAGCCTCTACGACTGTACAGAGTGGCAACCTCACCTGCTGGTAAACTAATAGTTGATTCGTAAAAGATCAACCAACCAGTATTTTATTTGTATTCCTCTAGGCTTTTGCTGGGAGTTTTTTTTTCACATTACTTCAGGTTACTTCGATGATAGGTTTAGAGGGGGGTCGCAGCATTATCAGTTATTTGGTGATTGGCAGGATTTGAACCAGAGACCTTCAGGACCAAACTCCCACACTTTACCACCAGACCAATTAGCTAACTAGTAACATTACTGTAACTGGGATCAAATCAGTGGTGTGATCAATATATTTACTGAACAGTGTTCCCTTTAACAAGACTTATTAATTAGTGATGTGACAAAACCAAATCTAAAATCTCAAAACCATCAAAACTTTGGAAAAGTTTCGGTTTTGAGATTTGATCACCAAGTTTCGAGATTCAAAAGTTTCGAAATTAAAGATTTTGACAATTTTATTTTTGTAACTGCTGATATTTTTTTGCGTCATTATTATTGTTTCAACACTGCTTAATTAACACCTCAAACATCAAAATTAATCAGACTTATAGCTGTTATAAACCTTCAATATTTTGAGTGTATGTATATTTTTTTCTGTGTCATTGGCAACCTTATTTTTAAGGCAGATGTGTTTATTTTTATAAATAAATTCTTTTCTCTCACAAGCTGGTAGCAATAGAGCAAACGGATCACCATAAACAGTAATAAAACAAGTAAATTTAAATTGTATTCTGAACTTCAAATCTTAAATACTCTAACTGGAGTTACATACAATTCAGTTTATTCATAACAATATTTACCAAATAAAAAGAAGTATTGACCACTAAATGTTCTGATTAATCTGATATTCATGTTTAAGTTGGTGTTAGAAGTTTAATTTATTTGAAAGTTGGTTGTTTATAATAAATTATGTTGTATTGGGTTTTAAGTTTATCAGTCACATTTTTATGTTATTGTGTAGCAAGGTAAAACGTTTCGCGTTTAGGTTTTGAGATTCAATTTTTTAAAGTTTCGGTTTTGAGATTCAAAATTTCTGGTTTTGACCATCACTTCATAATATTTTACTTAAGAAATCCTACATCTTTAGGTACCTATGCTCCAAACACAATACTATTACATAGCTTAAGGCTTAGCGAAGGAGTCAGTGGAAATTTGCTTGTGTGACGATCGAGCGCTTTCAGATCTAGTATGTTGTACAGGAAATATACTTGTAAAGAGCAAGGAAGAGCCCCGAGTGGCAAGCAGTGTGTGGAAATTCCTATCGCACTATCGCACAGGGCACAGAGTCTTCCTCCACTGTGAGTGTTGTAGTATATGAGGGCGAGAAGGGGCGGTGTTTATTTATTTATTTATTTATTAAACATCATCACATTACATCAATTCTCTTGACAGGTGATTTGTCACAAAGTCTAATACTAATACTATACTACATTTTAAAATAAAATAGCTTACAAAAGAAATAAAGCATATAATAAGCTACAAACCTATGGGAGAAGCAATATCTTTCAAATATACTCATTTTCCAGATATTCCTCTAACGAGTAAAATGGCCTCTCCAAAAGGAAATTTTTTAAAGATAGTTTAAATTTTGAGAATGAGGCAATGTTTGCCAATGTTTGGCAATGTGTTGGACTTTTCCCTAGATAACAAGTAATACTAGACACCACTCAAGTGTACCATTGAGTGTTATCTCTGTAGCTTCCTTCTCTGTGCTAAAGGTGATTGGTGGTTAGCATAAGTACCAATCTATACCTTCTAGTCTAGAGGATTCGTACCTTAATCGATTTATCTAGTTTTTTTAATAATATTGTGACAAATAGCAACACAATTCAACACCTCAAGAGGGAATTCAATCAGTTTTCAGCAGAGTTGCAGGAACGTGGTGATTGCAAAAGTAAAACTATCCATTGTATAATATGATTAATTTTTTTATCAAAAAATTTTGAACAGTTAATCCGACTGAATGCTCAACAATACTGTAGATGATTCATTTCATAAATTATGACATGTTTTTTTTATTTGCAGAATAAATTCACCATCATTGACAAGAGGAGTGGCAAAGTAATGCCGACACCTTACATGTCAACAAAACCATTCTTCCTGTGTCACCAAATCAACTGCTACGAAGAAGACAATCAGGTGGGCATTTACATAGACAAATAGAATGAATATAGAGCGGCAGCAGTGCTGCGGTTGGTATATGCTCCGGCGCCCACTGCTAGGAGTGTCGTGTAGTTACTGCGTACATACGGCTCCTGCACTCCTTGCCTGCATACACGGCACTCCTAGCGGTGGGCGCCGGAAGCTTCCTTTGACAGTCTATATTTATTCTATTTGTCTATGGCATTTAGACCTACAAAGTAATGATTAAAGGCAATATTCTGTGTTCTATATGGTGGTACTATAGCTGTTTTGCTTTGTAGGACTTCTTTCTTTGAGGAAGCTACTAGTGCCATTTAGAAAAGTGGCCTTTTTGAGGTGTCTGCAAAGCCAAAGTAGTGGTGTTGCCTTCAAATCTGAAAGACACTGATTCTAAGTGAGATCAATTTTTGATCCAGATGCCACTCTTTACAAACACCTTTGGTTTACACATTTCTCTTACAAACACTTAAAAAATACCAATAGGGTGGATACCCTGTTGTAAAGTTGCTAGTTGTTACATAACAGATCTGGTTGTGTTTCAGCTGGTGGTGGACTTTATAGACTATGACTCGCCAGCGTTGTTTGAGCAGATGTTTCTCAACGTGGTGAGACAAGACAAGTGGAATGTGTCGGGAGGAGGTTGTGGACAGCGGTTTGTGCTTCCCATCATACAACCTGGACAGGTGAGCCAACGCACAAACAAAATATTTTACATTTTTTTTTAGAGGAGGGAACAGTGTTTCTACGCACACAGGTTGCCAGACTGTAGTTTGTGTCTCCTGAATTGGTTAACTTACTAAAAAACCTCTCTACTCTGACGATTACCTGGGATTATTTGTACCTTTCTATCATCTCAGGCTGTTAAATGAACTAACCCCTGAGAGTTCTTGCGTTTCTGGCATTTTGATTATTACACTTGATTATATTTGTACGACAACCACCAGAATGGGAAGGCGAAGATGACTGAAGGAGAAGTGGTAAATGGATAAAATGATATCTTTGTTACTGACAATGATCAGCTAGTTATTTAGCCACGGTCATTTAGGTCCAGTTTCAAACTATAAAAAACCTACTGATTTTTCTTATGATTTTACCGACCTGATAATTTCACAACCGGCATAATGTATAAAAGACAATATTTTATAGACAAAGAGGAAAAGCAACTTGTAAAATTGTCTGAACCAGTATGCAAGCTTGTTGTGAGCTGTGAAGACTTAGGCATCAATATCCTCAAATTTGATATGTTACTTAATAGACAATATACAGATTTTTAACAGTAAAAAATTGTGGTAATTTTTTGAAATTGTTTTAAGAGTTTTATGGACTATGAAAGGAATAGATTTTAGGTTGAAATAGTATTATTTACAAATATAGGCTGTCACAGTTAAGTAGCTATGAGATCCTTTAGTCATTTTTGCATTAAAATACTCATTCTAGTTTGTGAGCATTTAAAACAAACGCAAACCAAAAGTAATAGGTACAGACTAAATATTGAAACTAAAACACAAGTACAATCGGATGGCCAGCAGTGTACCAATATATATATGAATTTTTTAAATTTTTTATTCGTAACATACACGTACTCTATAAGCTTTTCACTTTGAATGTAAAAACAGTGCCACCTAATACTGAAATTTACCAATGATTGCACAGAAAGCAGAGGAGGGGAAGAACCTTGTGACGCTGAAGACCTCGGCCACAGCGGAGTGTAGGCAAGGAGTGATACATCTGACAGGACATCAGCTGACCACAGACAGGGGATACGAGCAGCCCAGCATCAACAGAAACTTCCACGGCAAGAAGTACCGCTACTGCTACGCCAGCGGCATGATTGACTGCAGCCCACTACGCAACTCGGTGAGTTAAAGATAATCACGAGTGAATTAAGTGATCTTTGAGTATTGGCCTGAAGGTTTCATTTCTGATGACAGAAGACATTGTAAAAGGCTTATGGTTGTGTTTTATGGTGGACTATGATTGACAACTTTCCCTTGTCATTGGCTAAAACATTCAATCAATGATAAGATAATTGTTCAACTACTCTTTTTGATTAAAGAAGATACTTTTTCTCAAATTTTTTTCCAGTTATGGTTCTAGCTGAGACTGGTCTCATCAATGTTTTGACAACTCACGGAAACACTTGTTAACCTTGAATAACTAATTGTTTTTACAAAGCAGCATCTGCTAAACTCTCAGACTTTGGAAGGTACACAGCCTTCCCTGATGTTTACTTTTTATTTCTGATGGATTGTCCAACTTAACAACTATTATGACCAACAACAATTCACCCTTAACTATATAAGTGCACGATTCATAAAAAAGAGCACACTGTAAAATTTAGGAGAAGATAATATATTCAAATGTAGTGCAATTAAACATGGATTGATACACACCAAAAGACAATAGCATGAGATAAATACCAAAAGAGGCTCCAGATTTCACTCTAGAATGAGAAGTCTACTCACTGCAGTATCAAAAGTCATCTGCTATCCCGGTAATTATTTCCTTAAAGACGAAACGATATTAATCAAATTAAATCACTTATAAGTCCATATGCTACACTTTCTCCTTGTTTTTTGTCTTAGAGAGCTTGTTTAGCTCCCTAAAAATACCACTGATCTTAACATATCATGGAGATTTTTATTTTTCCTTATAGGCTTATGATTTTTTTCAAGTGCTGAACATAAGTTATTCTTGAACTACATTCCAGATTGTCAAGGTAGACACGGACACTGGAGCCATGACGTTGTGGAAGGACAGTGACACGGCTTTTCCCGGGGAACCTTACTTTGAGGCTCGTCCTGGAGCGACGGAGGAAGATGACGGGATACTCCTAGTCCCGGTCACCAACACCGATCCCGGAGTCCGGGACTGCCTTGTGTTCCTGGACCCCCGGACACTCCAGGAGGTCGGAAGAGCCAGTGTGGACAGTCACGTACCCAACGTCATGCATGGGATATTCCTTCCTTTTAAATAATCAAGATTCACCAAGTCTTCCTTTTGTACATATTGTGTGTGATTGTTAAAGATTAAGTTAAATAAAGTAAGATATTTTATGTTTAAATGTTTTACTGATTAATCCAGAGCTTTGAGTGTTTTAGAATTGATGATGAATGTATTACTATAGTTCGGCCGCTAAGAAAGCGACCTGTGCGCCAATGCTAACCAATGCTAGTAGAGGATGCTTTCTACGCGGCCGAACTATGGTGAGTTTTTAATAGTGTAGCTAACCATACTGGTTTTACTAATACAACTCAAAAGTTTAATTTGACACAAAGATGTGTTAAGAACGCAAGCCATGGGAAAACATGGTTTTGATACAATTACCTCACCAGCCATCAACTTTATCTACCAAAGAGAGTTTGGTTATAAAACCAGTCAACCTATTGCCTTAGATTCTTTTATTAAGGTCAATCTAGTTTTTAAATTAGTGAAATTACAAAAAACAAATCACAGATAAAATACGCTCTCTACAAGAACCAGATGGGACTACAGTAGACTCCCTCTTATCTGGACACCTTTTAACCGGACATTGGTTTAACCAGACTACACTCGGCGGAAATGACATCTCTTTAACCGGACAATTTTTATGAGCACATGGGTTTAACCGGACTAGATCGGCAAGAAGTGGGCAGTACTGAAACGACTGTTCTCGTGGGAAAGATTTGAGACCAGTGATCAAGTGTCTAGATACAATGCTCTCCTAAATTTAAGTCGAATATCACAGTAAACAGTCTGTTTTAACGAGTTTTAGGGGACGTTGGTTTAACCGGAAAACCCGTTATCCGGACTGGCCTTGGTCCCGAGGAGTCCGGATAAGAGGGAGTCTACTGTAACAGTAAAATTAATTGTCTTCAGCTGATCCATGAGAACGATAAATCTGAGAGAATGTTTATGGTTTAGGTGCGTTGATGGAATGTAAAAATGTGAATTTCACCTAAAATCAGGTATTTTACTACTTTTATTTAACCTTACTGTGCATGTCAACTACAAAATTATTTTTGTAGAAACTGGTTTTTAAACTTTTAGACAGGGAAGCTATATTTACATTAACAGGTTAAAAATGAAAAGGTGTGATCTAAAGTTTAACATTATGTATTTATATAAACTAAAGTATATACAAATGTATAAACAAGTAGATTTAATTTAACAATTTCTTCTATAATAAGTATGTCTTTATTATTATCATACTAAGTATAGGAAGACAGAAATATAAATAACCATGCAATACTGACCTCTAAAAAATTTTTTAAGAACTATTTTACAAAATTGGTATTAAAGAATGTGATCATATCACAGCGATCCCGTTGTCTTACAAATCTTTACCAGCAATCTAGGGAAAATAGTTTTTCGAGCTCGGGTCGAAAAGAGTCACTCTACGCCCTAGTGATGAAATATTATTTTACATGCAGAGAGATCATAAAGGGTTATAATAGCACCAGTTCTTTAAAACATTACTACTATATAAATACTATAGTATGCTATTTAATCAAATTATTACTGGAGTAAAAAAAGGACAAACATCTTTCTTCCCTTATAAAGCCAGAAACCCAGATTTTATTTTAAATCAACACTACACTTAAATTATTAAATCTTCAGCAAATACTTTTAACTTTGAATTTAACATACAGCTTCGATTATGGCTAACCTATGCCAAAGTTGAAGGCAGTTTTAGAATAACCATGAATGTGGTATTGAACCACCGATAAAGCGCTAATTTCGATTAAAAATGTTTTGTCTAGTAGGCCTACTAATAGTTTAGTTTCTCCAACAAGCAAAAGTGAAAGGACGACTTATTGTAAACTATGGCATCTTTTTCATCAAATCAACAACCGTCCGCAGCCTCCTGTATTACAAAGCTACAGCGTTGGTGTGAGGCAACGTCATGCCTATTGCCATGGTAATAACAAACGTGTGAGCATAAACATTGAGCAGACACTCTATTAAGAACCAGTGCTTGGGCTGCGTCATTGCCACTTTTGTCTTGCCGCGGTATTGGTATGTGACAACATTGCACCAGCCGGCCTATTTAAGAATTTTTTTCCTAAGAAGCTAGGCACAAGCGTGGTATTGTTTTCCACATTACTTCAGGCTAGATTGAGAGGTTGTGGCACTATCACTAAGCCCCTGTCACACGGAGCTGGTTCCAGCAGCTCTCTATCCAGCAGCTTTAGTTGCTAGTTCTCCAGCGTATATGAAGTCCTCAAGTCCTGTCAGACAAAGCTGGAGAACTAACGCTACAACTTACAAGTCTGGTGATGTAATTGGATGTAACTACACGCTCCTTAGGTAACAAAAATAATGTTAGTATTAGAAGTGATGTTTTATCAATGATCAGCCATCATAGGAGTAAAAAGTGCCACGAAAAAATAAAATATTAATATATAAAAACACTATTATTTTGTATCTACTATGGGCATGTAAATTAACTAATTAAAATCTAATAAGTTGTGTAGGCGTATAACAAAAGCACTTTATCTTTCATCAACTTAGACGTAGCAATCGTAACAACGAGAAAATCATGACAATGCGTGAAAAAAGTTTCTAAACATGAAAGTTTAAATTTATTCTTAATTAGTTTAAATGTGTTCAATTAATTTAAATTTATTTTTCTTAATGCGAGAACTAGCACAATACTGTCAGACAGAGCTGGAATGGTGCTAGAGACTACAGATGGGTGGTAACGTGACCTGCTAGTGACTCTTCAAGCGCTTGTAATATTAAAATGTTTAATTAGTCACACGATGCTGGTTTTCTGCTGGTTCTAGCTGCTAGTTACTAGCGGCAAGAAAACCAGCTCCGTGTTACATGGGCTTTTAGATAAAATGTATTGGTGATTTGGCAGGATTTGAGCCCGGGACCTCATGGACCGAAGTCCCACTCTCAAACCACTAGACCAGCTTGCTCCCTACCAGCCGGCCTATAGCCATTGTAACAAAATAACAAATGCGTTAACATAACCATTGCGCAGATGCTCTATTATGAATTAGTACAACAACAGCTGTTCCAGTAAGCCGGGAGAGCAGCGTTGCCAATTTTGTCTCACCGCTGCTTTGTATTAGGAGGCTATGCTTTCACAGTCTCAGCAGGTAATGAAGAAAATATGATATAGTAGTAGTAGGACACTAAATCAGTGGGTCATTCAACTGTATTATTTGTTATTTTTTATAAACAAAATCGGAAACAGCTGGTCCATATAGGATGTTTACCGCAGGTAATCAAAAGTCAATGCCTACACATAACGAGGTACAAAAACACATATGTGCATGTAATTATCAACACGTAAAATAAAATATGTGTTTCAACAAGAAGTATTATACTTAAGCATAACAAATTATCAAAAACCTACAAAACGTTTTACATATTTAACCATATATCTTGAGCATAATAAATTAAGTTAAGAGCTATAAATGAATTGTCTACCAGTGCGCAGCTAAATCAGTAAAAAAAATGTAAAAAAACACATAATAAATGCAGAATACCGGTAATGCAAAATATTTTCATCGAATAACAAGCTTTTTTAAAACGACCAGCGATCGTGACAAAATAACAAAATGTATAGTACCGGTATGTAACTCTCTTCGAAAAAATTAGGTGATTATTTTACTCCATGATAAATAACAGTTTAAAACGTTTGACTGTTGACAAGTTTCAACGTTTAACAAAATAACACCATTTAACGATAATGCACTTTCTGCTATGGTTGAAAAGTAAATTAAACAGATTCCTAACACATTACCTTACAAAACCTAATAGGGAAAGTAAATAAAAGAAACGTCTTATAACACTTAAAAACATATATTTACGCTTATACTGTTACTCACAAGACGGTAGGCCTAAATATACAAAAAAGATGGTAAGTGGTTAAGTGTTATAAGAGGTTTTTTTTATTTACTTTCCATAAATTTAATAACACGTACAATGCTGCTCAAGAAGTTGTTTAAAACCTAATAACAATTCAGTAAAAATATAGACAGCAAAATTTGTTTGAATTTCCATCACATAACTTTTAAAATTTACAAATGGGTAATCCACGTTAAAAACCCCCCAATGTTTCCCGCTAGAAAAACCCCACACACAATCAGTCTTTCCACACATCTTACAACTTAGCTTTGGTCACGTAGGAACACGTTGTGTTTACAATCCTAATCAAACTGGGAGTGTTTTGGAGACGGATGACGTGAAGAGTTTTGTGAAAAAAAGCATTCCCGAATGTCCGCCAGGGATATAACTGATCAAGAACCACATGAGCGCGATGACCTGCGCGACGGCGCAGACGAGTGTGAGTGGCGTACTGACCAGGATCAGCGAACAATACAGAGTGGCCGTGAGTGTCGTCACGTAGCTTAGTGTGAACCAGAACCTCTCCTTTGAGAACAGGTGTCTCAGGTGGTTCAGCGGCCCCCACAGAAACGAGAAACTGGAGAAAAGAAAACCATACAGGGTGTCTTAAAAATTTTATACTTTACCTTTAATACTCTCTAACCGTTGCTAAAAATCTTTTTGATCACAAAATATTTTTCTTTTAGGCATTTTTTGATAGCCTTCATTAGGCTTATGTTTTTATTTAGGGTAGGCCTAATGGTAGTGATAAGGGCTTTATGGTTTCTCAAGTTTTTAAATAATGTGACCATCACCATCTACTTTTAAGCTGTATCCTATTATTTTCATAGGTCTAAAAAAATTAAACCATCTGAACCGAACTTAATGTAGCTACTTTAAATTTGTAGGAAAGCGAGCTAATAAAAAAAAAATCATCTTATCTATCTTTAATTTATTTTCTGGATACTTAGAAATCTTTCTGCAAAAGACAGATTGTATTTTCGGATTCAGCGTAAAAAATACTTAGTTTTTAAAGTAGCTAAGTAAAAGCACAGAAAACGTACTACTATAACCCAGAATGCCAACCGCATCGTAAAAAGCATTAAGCGTTTTCTTTACCTGTCAATCCGTAGGCAGCGCTATTGCATGGCAACGCTGGTGGCGCTGCCTACGGATTGACAGGCAAAGCTCTCTCAAAACGCTTAATGCTTTTTACCATGCGGTTGGCATTCTGGGTTATAGTAGTACGTTTTCTGTGGTAAAAGTAAAAAAAATAAAGTAGTTTAACACAAAAAAGGAAATTTTCCTACCACTGCATGGAAATGATAACATTGCAATGTATAATATAATAATATTTAATGATCAGTAGGTCTACGCAAAATAGCTCATTTCCGCTTCATTCATTTCCCGCTAGCTAACTTAAATCAGCTTATCTGACTGTTGGAGTTTTTATAAAACATTAACATTCAGTAAAGCTTGAAAAAGCAAACATTTAACATAAATGACATTTCGTAGCATTACTAAAAAAGCAATCTGTGTGTTAAGATACCGCAAGTTAATTGTGGTGGTAGGAAAAATCTTGTGTCTACAACGAGCACAAACAGTCACTGCAATTCTCGAAATGTACCTAAATTTCTACAGCAGTAATGACATACTTTGCACACTTAATAATTACAAATAGCTAAATACCAGTAAGGCTATAAATTATTTAACCTTTACCAAAAAAGTAGACCTATAACTAGGCCTAAGGTAGAAATTACCTGCACATGAAGAATAAACTCCCCATTGTGTACAGTAAGGCAAATTTTCTTGCTTTCAGGAGAAGAACGGGTAAATATAACGCAGAAAGCCCAAAACAGAAGATCCCCATACAAACACAAAAGCAGAATCCAACAATCCTTTGGAATTTACTCTGAAATAAAAAACAATAATCCAAGTTAAATAATTGTAACACCCAGTGGCATGTTATTAATGTTTTGAGGAAAAATAAATATCTAAATATATAAAAGGCAAAGCCCTCACTCACTCACTCACTCACTCATCACTAATTCTCCCACTTCCCATTTACCTAGGAGGCTGAAATTCGGTACACCGATTCTTTGGGCATTAAATAGGAAAACAAAGTAGGCTAGTTTTTATTCTGATCGGGCTTTTGGGCTCCGCCCCAGTGGCTCTGGAGTTTCCCATGTTAACCTTATGAGTACTCATATTTAAATGGAATTAAAGAATCTTAACAGCTGTTTCAATTAAACAAGTTGGTTCTGTTCTATGATGTTCAACAGCATTAAAGTTACAAGGATTACCAACAGGGTGCAGCACTATTATTTTTTTAAATTTATAACTACAGCCAATTTGCAACCAAAAGGTGAGTGAGCGTAGCGAACGAACTTCAACCTGGAAGCGAGTTAGCGTAGCGAACGAGCTAACCTGAAGGCAAGTGAGTGGAGCGAACGAGCTCCAACCTAAAGGTGAGTGAGCGTAGCGAACGAACTTTAACAATTAATGAATAAATTGACTTCAACCTAAGAATTACCTGCCTAAAATAACATCAGAGTCTGGCTGATTTTTTCAACCCACTCAAGTTTCCTTTTAACTGGCTCAATCTCAATCTCTGGTCTTGCATCGAACAGTGACCCTTGCTAAAGTAGGTAGCCTATTATTGTGTCATTTTAATTTTTTTTGTCCAAATTTTTGTTTGTTATGCTTTGTGTTTAGCAGCTTGATTGCGATAGAGCAAGAAGTAGGCTATATATGCTAGGCCTAAAATCTTAATTTAGGTTTTTAATAAATGTAGGCTAACTTATTTTTATATAACCATGTTAAAAAGTGGCAGGCCTACCAATAATATTTAAAGATTTAAAACATCTGTTTTCTCATTTCTTACTTCTTTCCTCACACAACTTAGTGTTGTCACCCCTATTGGAACCCAGTGGCGAATATAACTTTGGGCGGCTAAAATTGACTTCTAGAGTACAGTTATGTTTTAAGTAATTTTAAATAGACACCCGTACTTTACCTCACCTTTGCTGCCCATATGCTATTCAGAGGGTAGCCTAATTTGCGCTGAATGCTACTTTCAGATCATGTTTGTTTTATTTATTGTTTACATTAGGATGGATCAACCAGTAACTTAATTGATTAACACCCAGTAATTGATCGGTTTCCTAGTTTTTTAGCGAATTTCCCATATTAGGCATATCATAGGGAATATTTTAAAAAAGCTATTTCCGTGGTACTCTTGTTCAAACCTGGACCCGGGACCGATTTACTTTTTAGTTTTGAGGTCCCTAGAGGCCAAAAAATGAACCGATTTAAAAGAAATTTGGTACTAGCATGTAAACCTAGACGTTTATTCAAACAAGTTCGCGAACCAGCATGATCGAACCATGGGAACAGGGTTTAATGGGTAAAAATTTTATATATAGCCTAAAATATATAAACTGGGTACACTTCCATATCTGTTGGCACAAACAACCGAATGAGTAATACTGATTACTGTAGCCTATTCGATTGTTTAATTCGATATATCCTTTGGTTAGTAAGGTTAGGTTAACCTTACCTAACTATAACCAAACGATATATCTAATACCTAATCGATATATCGATCGATATTACTCATTCGATTGTTTGTGCCAACAGATATGGAAGTGTACCCTATAAACTACCAGTAGGTTATGTAAACTTAGGTTACCATCTTAGGGCAGCAATCTTTCTGTGTTTCTGCAAACCACCCACTTTCTTCAGCCTCTTCCCGTCTAAACCAATTTCCAACCTTTGGGAGGGATACACTTGGCAAACTGTTCTTGAGGAGAGGTTTGGTATCATCTTTGCGGGCTAAATATTCATCTAGCTCCAACTTTATGCTTGCCATTATTGTTCAGATCTTTAGACAATTTCTAGACTAGAGCAGCAAAAATTTCAAAAGCCATAGGCCTAGATATAATCTAGTTTGAAAAAGATCGATAAATATTTATATGATAGCCTAATGTGAGATAAGCCTGCCCTAGGTTACATCTGTAAGCTTGAATTAATTTAGGCCTATTTCAGATCAAGTTAATATGGAAAATCAACTGAGCTCTTTTAAACATATGAACGTCTAGATAGTCACAATATCTTTATACAAATTAGAATGGAATCCCAATTAAAAGTTTGAAGTAGAAATAAGTATTAACACAATAACAACACCACAAACACAGTTTCCATCACTCTCCTCTCTTTCTTTATTTATGCTATGAGCTACAGTGTTGCCACCTCGTTGTTGCGATTTTACCCTAAAGGCAGGCTAAAATTACCCTAAATTACCCTAAATCTACTTTGAGTTACCCTAAAAATTACCCTAAACGTTAATATTTGTGTTTAATGCTATAAAACATTGTTAAAATAATATAAATCTTACATGAGGTGTTTAATTATACTAAAAAAGGTTTCAATATCAATCAATATACGTAAAATTATACTCGATTCTCAAAAACAACCCGAAAGAAGAACAAAAATGTTGATATTCAGCTCTATCGTATACGGTGTGTGAAAAATATCGAATCAAGACAAGAATTATTGTATTTTTTACTGTATCGACCCATTACTATACTTTTTTTGGTCAATTATACCTTTATAATACCTAAGGGAGTATGTTTTATCTATGATAATACAGTACGGTACCATAAAAGCCTTGGCGGTAATTTTTTGACACAATTCGTAAAATAATCCCAGTGTAATTCAATTCAATCACATAATTAAATATCACGAAGTAATGAATAATATTTCATATTTTATTAAAATGTGTTATAGAATCAAATACAATCTAAAACAGATAATTCACAACTCATAAGATCGATTTAACTTATTATGAAAAATGAATCATATCATTGATTTAAACCGGTTGAATCGCATTACGGTTCGGCCATAATATGTAATGTACGTTTTTTTTCATGTTTTTGGTTAAATTTCCATTGTTATGCTAACTTTTTGTTTTACCCTAAAATTACCCTAAATCTACCATTACCCTAAACCTTACCCTAAGACTAGTAAATTACCCTAAAAAAGGGTAATTACCCTAAAAGTGGCAACACTGATGAGCTATGACGTTTGTTGTTTTCGTTTTGGAGTTTAGAAAGTTTATTCAAGTTGACGTTGTCAAATCAGCTGACTACTAAAAAAAAACGTGGAGACAGTCAAGTAGAAAATAATTTACCAACTATCATAGCTGTAACCACAGCATTGATTATAAAACTTATAACAAACATTAAATCATCGAGGTTTATTTGATTAGCGGCAACAACCATTAAGTCAATTCAATGCTGTATAGAAATTCAACAAGTTGGATTTCCAAAGATCACTTGTTTATGATAAGGATTATGAATGGTTTAAATCCTTATACTTATAAATAAATTCTTATGCCAGTAAAAGAAGACGAAGCAAAGTAATTCTTTGTTGATAACATAGAAACATCTTACCTGTCCAGATCCTGGTCCATAGAACATGCTATCAACTAGAAGTGAAGTATAAATTAAGTAAACATAAACATCACCAAAAGCCTATAAAAATATACTTGTGAGAGCCCCAGCACAGACAAATGTATTACAGTATTATATTGTCTGTGGCCCCAGAGACCTGGGGTCACAGGCTAGTCCTTGCATCCCGAAAGTTGGTCATTTGGAATTAAAAAGTTTGTTATTTATTTTAAATAATGCATATAAAAAAGCATTACATTATAAATGTAATGTACAATTGATAATTTGGAGTATGGGGGTTTAAAAACCGGGTATCAAATTGCCTTTTCATTTTAATAGTTTACAGGTGGGGCACACTTCTATATCTGTTGGCACAAACAACCGAATGAGTAATATCGATCGATATATCGTTTGTTTAGTTAGGTAAGGTTAACCTAACCTAACCAAACAAACGATATATCGAATTAAACAATCGAATAATCAATATTACTCATTCGGTTGTTTGTGCCAACAGATATGGAAGTGTACCCTACAGGTGTAATTTAAAATATCTACTAATGTTATGTTTTAAGGTTTTATCCAAACAAATAATGCGGCCTGAGAAAATAAAATAACTATATAGTTACATTCTCCGTTGCTAAGCTATTGTTTGAGTTTAGTATGTATGGTACAAAATTTTTAAGTATATGGCTTCCACAGGATTACTAATTTTAAGATAGCACACAGTAACATACTTACCAGACCTAATCATACAAAATCACTGAACTCAACACAAGAAACCAGCTCTGTAATTCAAAGAGGTGTATAATAATAGCTCTGTCGCCTATTTCACAAAGAAACTCTGCAACATTTAACATCTGCTGGGTGGTGTACTAAACCGTCAGCTAGCGGTGTGGCAACTGAAAAGTACGTATATATTTAATTGTACTAAGTTCAAACAAAACTTCAGACCAAACACCTAAAAAGTTTCAAAACTTTACCTTTAAACCACTTTTTGTATTTTATTTCGTGGTTGATTTTTTGTTAAATAATATTTATAGCAAAGTTAGTTATTTAATACTAATTTATCTGTGACAAGAATTAAGATAAAACAAACCAAATTTTCCCTTCAATGCATATTGGGGGAGTATTGACGAGGAAGCAGAATTCTAGACTTGATTCTAGACTTAGACACCTTGTGTAATACATTTCTGAATTTGTTGTGTCGTTATGTCATTTTTTAGAATTTTGTTTCGCCTCTAGTTTGCGCTCGCCTCTAGCTCTCTAGAAGAGCACGTCACCTCAGCTACATGACACACGACACAAACTACACAGAGGTGAAGTGTTGTGTCATTTCTGGAAATAAAGATGTTTCATCTATATTTTAAAGAGAAGTTAATCTTATCCATTTCAAAAATCATAACAGCAAAGCTTAACAACCAGAGCTGAAAACTAGAATCAAAATTTAAATATTCTTCAAATGTAATTTATCCAAAAATAAGTTCGTAATTTAGAATGTACAGTACATGCAACAAGAATTTACTAGGGCCAAATCGTAGATTTAATTTATAGCAGCGACAAGAATATAAAATTAATAATAAAAACAGTGGCACCTCATAACAAAAAGACCGGTTTCACCCAGGCATCCCCTCAGAGTTTTCGCTCCTCAGGCACACCCAAGATCCCCCAGCCGTCAATAGGTAACAAACTGCATCTACTCTTGGGTTTATATTGAAACGGTGGTACTCATCATCATAGCGAGAACTTAATTGTTTCTCATCGAGTTAATGAAAACATGCGTTTCTTATGTTGTTGGACTTGTTAAATACCTAATATTAATAATATTTTCTTCCCCTTTGTAAGACTATTTAGAATGATAGACGTTTAATTCATATTCTTTATACCTGAATGCACCTAAATATTCAATCTATGTTACCGACACTTAGTTCTAACGAAATCCGCTAGGTCGCGTTGCTGATCTAAGTTCAGTAAGAGAACAGTACGTCGGAGCGGACAGTTTAAAATAGCAAGTTTAGCTCTCACGATGGATAAAGCCGTTGACTTTAAGGCCGGGGCCACACTCATCTTATCTCGCTGAATTTTTTCCACGGGCGTTACCCGTGGGTTTGAGAGATACATTACGGTATATGGGGCAGGCCACACTAGAGTAAAAACGTCCGTGAACGCGTTTGTCAGTCTCACTGGTTTTACCAGCGAGACTGACAAACGGAATTGCACGTGTATTATCTACTAACATCCCACGGGCGTTGCACGTAAAACTAGTCGCGGGGCATTGCGGCTTATGGGAGTGAACACACTCATCTTATCTCGCTGAACTTTTTCCACGGACGTTTCTAGTTTTAACCTGTACAGAGAGCGTGGAAGGGGGGGGGGAGTGAGTATCACGGACGATTTTTATTGCCAGTGTGGCATGCTCTATCAGTCTCGCTGGTTTGCCCGAAAAACCTATCTCGTAAGACGAGTGTGGCCACGGGCTAACTGTTTCACGTGCGTCGCACGTGAAAACGGAAAAAACAGTCTCGCTGGTTGAAAATTACAAGTGTGGCCCCGGCCTAAACAGTATTACTAAGTTTCAATCTATAAAACACACTTTTATTTTGATATTGATAAATATGTGTTGTTTTTTTTTGCTTCTAATTATCCAATTTTCCAACTATTTTACCCAAATGAAACCTTCTCAGTTAATGCATTATTTATGATATTATTTCTCAAATTCGGCGTCAGTTTACATGTAATGCCATACAATTAAATACATATTGTATACATTTACAATATTTAAAAATCTATATAATTTTAGCGAATTTCCCATATAGGGAATAAGCTATTACCGTAGGTCTTATGGTAAGACCTAGACCGGGACCGATTTACTTTTTCGTTTTGAGGTCCCCAGAGGCCAAAAACACCATCCGTTCAAATTCATATATATATATATATATATATTTATGTGTCCGTTAGCGCGATAACTCGAGCAAAATTGATCCGATTTTGATGAAATTTGGTACAAACGTGTAAACCTACATTTATTCGAACGAGTTCGCGAACCAGCATAATCGGACCATGGGATCAGGGGTTTATGGGAGGTTTTATGGGGTAAAAATGGGTTTTTCTCATTTTTGACCCTAAAAACTTTAAATTTCTAAATTTCTCTCTAGACCATTTTGAAGAGCTTAAAAAAACAAATAATTTAGTATATTGAAGTGTTTTTAAATGTTCATTGACTACGGAGAAAATTAAAAAAATTGTAAATTTAAAATTCCCATGTTATTCTTATGGAGAATAAATAAACTGTTCTAGTTTGCTTGTTTATGGATATATTTTAATCAAATTTGGCAATTTGGTTTAATTCATACTAAGCTATCAATATTTCAATTGAAAAAACACACCTCAACATCGTCCCCGTAGCAGCAAACCTAACTACTCACTAAAATTAATGTTATTTAAAAATGGAAATAAATCTGAAAATTTATAGGGAATATTTTAGTAGAAATCAAGCCGGGTAAATGGAAATTCGCTTAGTATGCAGGTTTGCTGCGACGGGGGTATTTACATGTGCTGTTGATATATCAGTGTTAGACGATAATTAATTTGATACATGATTGATGATGATGTTATATACTCAAGCAATAAGTAATTAACACATAAATATCAAATTATACGCGTATTTATCACTAAATTTTGGTATTTTATGTTCTTAAATTTCTAAAATTTATACAGAAGAACAATATCTTTTACGTTTTGATGTATAGTTAATTATAGGGTTTATTAA